ACTCACCTCCTTGCTTTGCTGCTTTGGATGGTGGGTGAACTACTTGGTAACAGTACCCTGCATGTCATCATTGACAGTGTGATGATCCCCACATTTCCCTCATGGCACTCTGCAGAGATTCACTATTTCTCTCTGTTTATACCTCACAGAGTGTACTCTGAGCAATAATGTGTTGCCACCCCTGAAACCTCTAAATCTTGGTGAGACTGATTTCTTTATGGGGAAAAGGAAATGCTAGCAGCTTTCTGAAATCCTGTAGGGGAACAAACAATATCTCACACCTCATTTTTGGTAAGTAGATCCCAGGGAAGGGGCCATGAGTGGTGAGTCCAGTACAGAGACATTCTCTTCTGATTTAACTAATAATGTTCAATTAAAAGCAGTACTTGCTATATAAATCCTGACCTAGGACTCTTCAACAAAAGTCTCACTTTGCAAGCCAGCAGGTCCTATGAAAGGCTACAGATACCACCCCTACAACATTCTCATTTTGCAGCAAAGGAAGAGCTCTGAACAGGAAGAAGGACTCACTCACTTTACACACCTATCAAACACTAACCCCAAACAAGCTCTCTGGCAGAGAATTTCAAATTTCACCACATGAAACAAAACAGTTTGCTGCTGCTTTTACCAGAACTCCTAGACAGGAAAGTTTGCAGATGAGATTCTTGCGGAAACATGGCCTCATTGAAGTCAATGCAAAAAGCCCCTTATAAAAAACACATACTTCTAAAGCCCCTTTTATAAAGTCTTATACAGTTCCTATCACAACTTCAAGCTGTAGAAATACTAATATGAATTCTATTTATGGAATAATTTATATTGTAATGATACTAATGTTATGGTGTACTAATGCAAGGGCCTTATGATCTGCGAAAGTGCCTAGAATTGCCTGAATCCTGTAAAAAAGGAGTAGAATATGTACTTAAGTGGATTTTGTCAGAATTCCTTGTAAAATTATTTGCTTTATTGTTAAACTATGGATGAAAACTGACTGTACTGAAATGTCTTGGAATAAATTATGCAGCCCTACAGTATCGTCGAATTAAAATTATTGAAAGATGAAGTAGTGCTAATATAAAGTAGAACGAAGTTTAGGAAAGAAAAACAAAATAAAACAAGTAAACAAAACCAAAACAAACAAAAACAAACACGACGTTTTGGTGTGAGAAAATGCAATGGTGGCCAAGTCCCAGCAGGTGGCAGCTGAGTACGGGTTTTTGAGTCATAAGCGGCCTCCTCGGCTCTCAGGCGGGGGACAACTTTTCCTTCCCACTGGGCTCTACAGGGAACCCAGGGTTTCCAGAGAGAAGAAGCTATACAGCATGGACCTTCGCTCTGCACATGTTTGAAGAGACTCACCTGCAAAACTGCAAATAATCTTGCCTGTTTTCATTGCAAACCTTGTACAGGATTTATTGGACTCAAAAATACTACAACCCCCATCCTACAGGAAAGATGGAGAGAGACTCTTTATAAGGGGGTGTAGCAATATGACTAGGAATAATGTCTTTGAACTAAAAGTGATTAGATTTAGTTTAATGTAAGAAATTCTTTCCTATAAGGGTGGTGAGGCCCTGGCACAGGTTGCCTAGAGAAGCTGTGGATGCCCCATCCCTGGAAGTGTTCAAGGCAAGTTGGATGGAGCTTTGGGAAACCTGGTCTAGGGGAAGGTGTCCCTGCCCTTGGAACTGGGTGATCTTTAAAGTCCCTTCCAACCCAAACCATTCAAAGATTCTGTGATTCTATGTCTGAAATCTTCCACAGTTTAGATTGTTAGGTAGTGGAAATGCAGATAATACAGAGTCCTTCAATACAAGAAATTGTTGGCTACTGTAAGGAATTCTCTGGGCTTACTAAATTAAAATGGTTGCTCTTTAGGTTGCTTGGTCTTGTGCCATTGAAAAGATCTAAAAGAGATATTTTTCATCTTAAAGATTTCCTCCTCCACCCTCACTCCATTTTGTGCTATGTGTGGTTCAAGGGTCCGGTAAATCTATTCCAGCTTCCAGCACAATTCTTTATGAGTGTGCTGTGGAATGCTACTGAGATGTTTTCATAGAAAGAATTAGGAATCTGTTGCTTTCAATATTTCAAGCTCAGCCAGACAAAGAATGTAGCAACTGTAATATAAAACATCTCTCTGGGAACAAAACAAGCTAGTACATTTATTTCCAAGTAATTATACCAAGCACTTAACTCACAAAACTGAAATCAATTTTGCATACAGCAGAAATCATATAAAGGATAAACACTGACTTGAGGAAGAACTTTAGTCCTATTTTACGAATCTGAAGTTCCTTCTAGACAGATGCTTGCGGGAAGCATCAGACTTATCACACTTCTCAGCAAGCTGGATCTAAATTCGGCCCGCCAGTCCCTGAGTTCTTTACTGTTCAGTTGCCACTGACCACACAATCTAGGGCAAGATATTCTTCATTTAAAACACTGATTTTTGAAACAAACTTGAATATAGAAAGAAAGATTATATTCAATGAAAGGTTTTATTCTTATAAATCAATATAACAAATTAAGTAATTAAACTGATTCAAACAAAATGAAACTAAATGCTGTCCGCCAGAGTATTTCTGTGCAGAAATTACAAAATTCAAAAGGTATAGGTTACAGATAATTCAACTTGTCTCTGGCTCCTCTGTCTCGTCATGTAGTATAAACCACATCAAATCCACAATTTAAAAAGACAGTAATAGCTTACAGAAAATGTTTCTTTTGAAGATATTAATTTAAAGATTCAGGAACTATTTGCTTCACAGAAGGATTTGTTGCCTGAATAGATTGCTCATATAAAGGAATGACTAATAAGAATGGCAATGAGGAAGATCTAAGTGCTTCTCTTTCAGGGGTCTGGAACACAAGTCCTGTGAGGAGCAGCTGAGGGAACTGGGGTTATTTAGTCTGGAGAAGAGGAGGCTCAAAGGAGACCTCATTGCTCTCTACACCTACCTTCATGTTCCTGCTCTGTTCCACGGAAGCAGCTCTGAGGTGGTGAGGCAGCCCCTGTAGCAGAACTAAGCTGTCCCAGCATTGGCCCCTCAGTGCTCCAACTGACTAAACAGGTCTGTCCTAGATTGAGCAGTGCACTGGGGAGATTTTTTAACTTTGTTTTTTGTGTTTTTGTTTTTGTTGTTGTTGTTGTTGTTTGTTTTGTTTTTGGTTTTTTTTTTTTTTTTTTTTTTTTTTTTGAACATTTAATTTAAAAGACTAACCAGGCCACAAAACGCTCCTCAAAAGTACTATCCAGTGTCATTCTTTCCTCTACAGGCATCACAGTCAGGCAGAAAAGCACTGTTTGAGGGGGAATCATCCTCAGGGTGGGAATGGAGATTGACATCAAACCACAGGGTTACTGTGGAGGTGCCACATTCAGATTAACATACACTACTGTTCATCAGAACTAATTTGCTCAGGCAGTGTCTCACTGTCATGGTACCACAGCCTCTAGCTCCAGTACTAAGGGGGGATCTGTGTTGCCTCCCACTCCACAGTGTACACATACAGTATCTCTGGAGATGAGATGCCAAATGGTGGGAGATGGTTTGTAGACAAAGCCGTAGTATATTGGATGATAAATCCAGATAAATGAACTCAACCAATTCTAATTCATGTAATAAAACTTTCAGCTACTTTTACTGTCCTGATACTCATGCATTCTCAGTAACATCATAGTCATTCTTTCTCAGTAACAGCAACTTGTCCGATGGAAGTATTGTGAATCTGACAGGTAAAGTTCAGGAGCAAAGTCCATTCTTCCAGTTCTGTGGCTGCATTTCACACTAAGAAAGCAGGGGCTGACTGAATTAAGCAGACAATTCCACCATCTTGGGGAAAATTACAGTGTAATATGAAAAAGTCAATATTGTCTATGGGAACAAACCCATTCTTCTCCAATAAACAACTGTAAAAGATTTTCACAAAGTCCTCAGTTGTTTCACTAATGAGGAATTCATGCATGAGTCTATGCTGCCCTAAAAATCCCGTGCATGAATGGAGACTGACATGTGGAAAAGGTTTCTATATAAACTATTTTAACTATCATGAACTGTAGGGCATCTACGCGTTTAATTCATCTCTTCCACTATAAAAATCAGATTTAGAGTCAGTCACTTCCAAACCTGTATGAACTAACTTGGGGAAAAGGCTGTCAAATCATCATAAGAATGCACATGCTGAGACTCACGCCACTTTAACGAAAGTTAAATGATTTTAGACCTTAATATGTATCAGAAATATGTGTTTCTGTGGACAGAATCACAAACAGTGCCTTGGCACAGATTTGCTTTCAGATGAAACTAAAGCAGATCTTTTCTTAGAGGCCGTAAGTTGCTCATCATCCTGAATTCCCTTGATCAAAGTTTTGATCAAGTATGAGGTTTCGTGTAAACCAGAACATTGCTTTTTGTGATGTAACAAGACAGGGAGCTTAAGAACAGTGATGCATTTGTCACATTTATCTCTCCATTTAACAAAGCTCCCTCTGAACAACTGTGCATTATTCATTGGGTCTGCAGCAGTACTATGGATGCTGTTCATGGTTCTAAGATTGTATTACATGTCCGCAATACACACACTTTTTGCTGGCAAAACCTGTGAGAGTATCCTATTCTTGTGCGGAAGGTTTGAGCCAAGCAAATGTTTTTTAATGAATAGTTTATTCACACATGAAAAATAATATCAACTGACTGGTAATTGTGAGTTTAACCTATGTTGACCAGGTACTGTTAACCCTCTTCTCAAACGAGGGACAGAGAAGAGGATATTATTATACATTTTTTAGCATGTGTTAGCATTAAAAAAAAAAAAAAAAAAAGTTGTTTCAATTCTTCAATTCCTCAAGCTAGAAAGCTAACTGAGCAACTCCTTAACGGAGTTTGCAATATGCCAGTATACAGTGGTGATGTATGTACATAATAAACCAAAGTTCCCTTTATTTCTGGAAGTAAACAGTTTTGTTAAAAGCCTACACCATACAGAGAAAAACAAACAAACAAACAAACAAACACGTTTTATTCATGTTATTTTACATTTAGAGGAGAAAACTTCAATTACAGTGTCTTGGGAGGATTAATAAATTTTAATGGAAAAAAAGAACCTAAGCTCTTTTGTACAGCTATATATTCTTAGTATATAACCATCTCCATGCTGATGTACTACTAATGGTTGAACATTTCCTGCAGGATGAATACTCCCCTTCAGAAGAGCCATTGATTAGCTTTTTTTCACATAACCTTTCTTCTTTTTTAAGAAGAGATTGGACTGTGCACTTAGTCACATGGTCTGAACTTTTGGGTAGACCTGTGCGGTGTCAAGAGTTGGACTTGATGATCCTTAAGGGTCCCTTCCAACTCAGGATATTCTATGATTCTATGATTCTTTTTTTTTTTCTTTTTTTTTTCTTCCAGACATGCATCCTATGTGGTTAACAAACCTAGTTTTGGCTTTGTAGGATGCTGCAAGTCTTCAGCTTGCTCTGAAATTATCTATTTATTGGACACTTAACATTATCCATTTATAAGACATTTATTGAACACTTAATGGGCAAGAATACAACTAACTTCAATAGGTCCTTGGAGAATGTGTAATTGTAATGGACAGAAAACTACCCATTTACGTTACCTACTCAGTCCACTTTTTCTAATAGGACTGTGCCCCATACAATATTCCTCAGGATACCTCCTCTTCTGAATACAACTCAGAAACATATTCTAAATCATGCAATTTTACAGGACAGCAAGATGAGGATGTATTTCCCAAAACATCCTTCAACTGAAATTTGTCCTTCCATTTGCTACAGCTTCCTAGATCAACTTTGCTTTCAAATGACCACTATCAAAGTGGTATCAACGAGGTGATTTAATATTATTATTTCTGGTAGTTTGTTGTTTCAGGTGTGGAGCAGAGATCTGAAATATATCATGTGACTGAAAAACAAAGAGATCCCTCACAACATACACACCTCATTCTGAGCTTGCAAACTGTCTAGAAAGGGCAAATTCAGAGATGACTCCTTTACCAATATGGGAAAGGGTCCTTCAGAGTACAGTGTATTCACTCACTAGGCTATCTACTGCAACACCAGCAACATTAGCATAGAGTTCAGGCACCACTAGCTCAGGCACCTGCAGTACCGCATGGTCATTGCTGGTCTTTACAGCTTTCTGTAGCAACTCAATCAGGTCTGCAGGAGAAGGCCTGTCAGTTGCATTCCACTGCCAGCAGGACTTCATGATGTTGTACCTGTAAGATGAAGAAGAGAGAGGAGCTGGGAATGAAAAGCACCAACACCAAATTTTACTACAGTCAAATCATATTGTACTTAGCATGTCTAGAGGCTTCCTCTTTTTCTGCTTCATTGAAAGTTCTTTCAGTGAAATTCGCAACCAGATAATAATGTGTGAGGACAAAGGCAGACTTACAGTTGTTTACCAGGTTGTCAATTGTGAGTATGGGAAAAGGGGAAAAGATTACATTTGGCATTACCTTTTGAAACAGTAACTGGGATTCTTATAGATTAAAAAGCCTATGAATATTAAATTAAAAAAAAAAAAAAAAGTCTTCACGAGAGGAAGTATGATGCCTCAGATCTCCCCTGTGGATGTTTAGATCATTCTGGAGATTTACAGGAGAATGATTACTCTAGAATAGCTCAGTGCCTTGCATGGAAGCAGTGGAGCAACAAAATTCAAGGGCAGAGAAAGAAACAGGAACAAGAGCAATTTTCAAAAGCAGGTAAGAGAGTTTTTGGCAGTCAAGGTTTCAGTAAGATGTGGCAGGCATGAGAACAAGTCTCCTCAACTATCAGGTTTCTATTTTGTACAGTCTAGACTTAGAGATCTTTGTTAAGATCCAGTTTTGTGTGTTCCACTTCCATCTATCTCTGCAAATCTCACTTTCAATTATCCATAAAGCAAGTGGCTTACATGGCTTGCTGGCAGCTTGAAGGCTGTTTCATAATGTTCCGTCTCTGCAGGTATGGCAAGATGTCAGAAGGTGGTACCTCAGGATATGGTGGAGCACCTGGAAGGGGAAAGGAGTAACAGTAGAAAACCGTGAGATAAAGGTAGCAGCTTCTGTGTAAGAATGTCTTCATTTCCTACCAAAATCCATTCATTTCCTATCACAATTCACACTGAGAGAAAGGCTAAAACAACTATCGAGACACTGCAAGATGGAAAAAAACAGGATGCATAGTTAAATGCCCCAACTTTGCATTCTTAAATTGAGATTTTGGAACTTGTTAATTTGTTGCTTCCTTCTGTATTTTTTTTTTTAATTATTATTAAATCTTCTTACCTAATGTAATCATTTCATACAGTAGAATTCCAAAAGACCAGCTGCAAGAAGAGAAAACAAAGCAGTGTTAAGTTTCCATACTAGCTAGCTAGCAAGCTTAAACATATACAAATGACTAGGCATGACCTGCAGAAATGAGAAGAAAAGGTATGAGATGTAAAGCAGAGCATTGCACTGAGAATAGGTATGCCTTACTGTAAACTTCAGGACATGAAATGATACATGACGAAGTGAAAGAGACAGATCTGACTGATAGGTTAATGTATAGTCCAAAAATAAAATCATACATGTCTGCCTTAATGCTAGGGGGTTTCTTCAGGAGCCGCTCTGGTGCTTGCCACTTTACTGGTACCATCCCTGTGACTGAGCTGGCACCTTTTGCATGAGCTTCATAGGCCAGCCCCAAACCACACAGCTTGGCAGTGAAGCTGCTCTGAAGAAGGACATTCCTGGCAGCAATGTCACCATGGAACAATTTCTTCTGTTCAAGGTATGCCTAAAAGGTTAGAAGAGGAAGAGACCATCATTTTAAAAGGAATTCTAATCAACAGAAGTTTTTACTGAGCTTGCACCCATCCTCCACAGCGCGGAACAGAGGTATATGCTTACCAAAATAATGCCATCATATTTGGCTCAGCTTTAACAAACTACATCCTCACAGCTTAGGCTAAGAAAACTTAAGCCACCATGCAGACTTGTGCTGCAATCAAGCAGGAAGCAAAAAATGCAGCAAATGTGAGCAGACTTACCAGAGCTGCTGCAACTTGCTGTCCAACTTCATATACTTGCCTCTCAGTGAGGTCATAGGGGATACCATTCGTTGTCATTACATCCTAGGATAAAAGAGCAGATCTTGGATCATAGCTGGAGGGTACTGAAAAACTTCATAAAATCAGAGTCACTTAGCTTGGAAGGGACCTTAAAGTTCATCTAACTCTGACCCCCCTGCCATGGGCAGAGATGCCACCCACTAGATCAGGTTGGCCAAGGCCCCATCCAGCCTGGCCTTGAACACCTCCAGGGATGGGGCATCCATAACCTCTCTGGGCAGCCTGTGCCAGTGCCTCACTACACTTACAGTGAAGAATTTCCTCCTAATATCTAGTCTAAATCTATCCTCTTTTCGTTTAAGAACGTTCCCACTTCTCCTATCATTATCTACCTGAGAAAAGATTCCTTCTCCATCTTTTTTATAAGTCCCCTGTAAGTACTGAAAGCCTCAATGAAGTCTCCCTGGAGCCTTCTCCTCCAGGCTCAATGTTCCCAGCCCTCTCAGCCTTTCTTCATAGGACAGGTGCTCTAGCCCTCGTTTCCTTTTAATCTAATAAAATGAGTATTTTACATGTATAATCTTATGCTCCCTCAACTAATTTCATAGACTGACTGTAAATTGACTGAAAGATAGGGGTACAAGGATGGATATATGGTATGCTGGGTAAGATTGGCACACTAGAGACTGATGAGTAAACCGAGGTATAGAGAAGAGATGAATAGGTTAGACAAAATTGGCAGAATACCAGTAAAGAATGACAAATACATATGAATGAAATATATATGAGTGAATTAAATACTACAAATTAGACTGACAAGTAGAAAAGCATGTCTGTAACATACAAATGAATATCTGGGATGAGACTGACAGTCCATCTCTCTTACTCCCCTGTCTGTAACACTAACCCTAGTTGGATACCAAAGTAAGAGAGAGAGAACAATGTAAGCATATGTTGCTTTTCTTGAGTAGTTTTCCACCCCCAACAATTTTCAGTCTAAAGACTTCCCAAGATGGTTATGGTTTCAATATGTTCAGTAAACTTTAACAGGTTATCTTCAGTGAATTTATTCAGTCTTGTCTTGAACCAATATAAAGCTTAAGTATCCACACTAGTTGATGGAAAGGAATTCCATTGGTTAAACCCCTACTTTCTGAAAAATCATATACGCTTGTTTATTTTGACCATGGCACTTATAAGCTTTATTTGTTACTATCTTGTCTTTCTGCTGAACAAGACAAAGAACAATCCCTCTGAATTTAGTGCCCCTGAGGTGGGAGAATGACAGATTTCTACAATAACATAGCAGTGTTTTGTTTCTATTCCTCTCTTACTAATTCACAGAATACCTTGAGTTGGAAGGGATCAAAGTCCAAGTCCTGGCTCCACACAGGGCCACCCAAAAATCAAACCATGCATCTGGAAGTGTTGAGCAAATGCTTCTTGAACTCTGACAGGCTCGGTGCTGTGAACACTTCCCTGGGGAGCCTCTTCCAGTGCAAAACCACTCTCTCAGTGAACAACCTTTCCTGATGTCCAAACTGAACCTCCCATTACAACTCCATGCCATCCCCTCGGGTCCTGTCGCTGTCCCCAGAGAGCAGAACTCAGCACCTGCCCCTCTGCTCCCCTCGTGAGGGAGCTGCAGGCCGCCATGAGGCCTCCCCCCAGTCTCCTTTTCTCTAGGCTGAACAAACCAAGTGACTTCAGCTGCTCCTCATATGTCTTGCCCTCTGTGGACTAAAGTAACTAGGAAAATTAAACTAATATTCACATTTTAAAGAAAATGTATATCATTGAAGTAGCTTTCTGGGTGGAGTGTAGCTGCACTACCTGACCGTTCCCTAGGCTTCCAACCTTAGATTCTGTTGCACTAGGGGTACCTGGTGTGCTGGCTCTAAGGAACAGTGTGGAGCGTAGAGCAGAGTGGAGACACCGTGGCTAGGCTCTGTGACAAGATGAGGTCTCGACTGTTCTTGTGCACACTGAGACCGATAAACTGCACATTTGCTACTGAGACAACAACCTGTCATGATTTTGACAAAATGCTGTGCTCTAGTGAACTTTTGCTCATTATAATATCATTATAATACCAAAACACACTTCCATCCCCAAAGCAACCTGCCTCCAAGGTGCAACCACCCCTCACTGAGCACATGCTCTGAATTTCTCAGAGCCTATACCTTTAAATGAAAGCAAGAAAACTTTACCAGTAATAACCAAGATATGCTTGACTAGAGTCACTCAAGTTCCACCTAAGAGATAGAAAATAATATAAACTGGCTTAAGAGAAAGGGGATGTTAGGGAAGATACCATCAGGAAGGATACCTTCTGACTTCAGTCAATGGGCTGAGCTTCTCTTCCCCCCTCCACTGGGACACCATGGGGTAAGATTTGAAGACTTGGTTATACCAGGTATCTCTGCAGAAACTTAGAAATCTCTAGAGTCTTTGTGCCTTTTAATGCATTAATAGCCAGGCTGTGCACCTGTGCATTTCATGCATGTTAGATTGCTTTTGCAGACGGTGAATTTATCATCGGCAATCCAAAGAACCTGTGTAGCTGTTGCTGTAATAAATTGCACTTAATTGCATTGTTCCTAGCAGTGATAGTTCTCATTGAATGCAGCTAGAGTGAGGGTGTGCTATGTTGTTGGTGAATCCGCGACCGTGTTGTGGTTTAACCCAGCTGGTAGCTAAGCACCACACAGCCGTTCGCTCACCCTTCCCCCTCCCTCTCTGGGATGGGGGAGAGAAATGGGAAAGTGAAGTCTGTGAGCTGAGATAAAGACAGTTTATTAAGACAGGAAAATAATAATAACAATAATGATTATAATAGTATTACTAATAATAATGTGTACGAAACAAGTGATGCACAATGCAATTGCTCACCACCCACTGACCAATGCCCAGCCTAACCCCAAGCAGCCGGCCTCCCCACCCCAGCTAGCCACCCCTATATGTTGTTTAGCATGACCCTAGATGGTATGGAATACCCCTTTGGCCAGTTTGGCTCAGCTGTTTTGGGTCTGTTCCCTCCCAGCTCCTGCTGCACCCCCAGCCTGCCCGCTGGCAGGACAGAGCAAGAAGCTGAAATGTCCTTGGCTTGGTGTAAGCACTGCTCTGCAACAATTAAAACATTAGTGTGTTATCAGCACTCTTCCCATCCTAATCCAAAATATAGCACCATACCAGCTATTAGGAGGAAAATTAACTCTGTCCTAACTGAAACCAGGACAGACCATGATAGTTCAGTTCCTTGAATCTGACCAGATCCATAATGGTTAATCGGCTACGCCCCTTAATGCAATACCCTCTAGAACCTTCATCATCTTCTTATCCCTCTTTTGGACACTCTCTAACAATTTTATGTCTTTGTTTTATTGTGGCACCCAAAATTGCACACAGTACTCGAGGTGAGGCTGCACCAGGCAAAGTACTGTAGGTAACTTCCCTTGATTAGCTAGCAATGTTGTGCTCGACGCACCTCAGGGTACAGTTGGCCTTTTTGGCTGCCAAGGCACACTGTTGACTCATATTCAATTTGCTGTCAAGCAGAAGCCCCAGATCCCTTTCCATGGGGCTGCTCTTCAGCCTCTCGTCACACAGTCTGCATGTATAGCCAGGGTTGCCCCTTCCCAGGTGCAGAATCTGGCACCTGCTCTTGTTCAGCTTGATGCAGTTGGTGATTGCCCAGCCCTCTAATTTGTCAGGATCTCTCTGCAAGGCCTCTCCACCCTCAAGGAGTCAGCATCTCCTCCAACTGTAAAGTTCCTTAGTATGTATTTGAGTCCTGCATCCAGACATCAAACCTTTCCTTTACGGAAACAGCACTGTAAGAGGGGTGTGATGTAAAATACTTAGACAGCACCATTGATTTTGTTGTCTTGCTTTCTAAACTTCTGAAGTATCAAATAAAAGCGTAGGAAACAAATCACAGAAGCAAGGGGTTGCACATCTCCCATTTCTGTCATTCACAAAGCATGCTTAGTGTCTTATTCTAGCTGGACCTCCAGAGCAGCCTCTGGGAAAGTGCTGACATTGCAAAGCATTGCCTGGGTGCTCAGCAACTCCCTTGCACTATTGAAATCACAGAGCATTGCAAGTCTAGACAAGAAATGTCCTAATATTTAGCTTATTTTTTTTGGCTTGTGGTAATATTTTCAAGGGAGTGTATGTTTTCATAGAATCGGTCCCATGATTTCACATCTTGTCAGCAGTGGCCCATCAGTATGTATGTGAAGCCAAGATTGCTTTTGTGCTTCTGTATTATTTCATTTATGTCTATGCTGAATTTCATCTGTTTCTTTTTATTGGACAGTTGTTCTTCTGCAATTGCTCAAGGTCAGCCCCTGCCCTTACTGACTGTTGTCATTGTCAACCATCACCACCTCATTCTCATTCGCTACCCATTTTCTAAGATATTGACACATACAATGAAAAGCACCAGGTCCTAGCACATTTCCCAGCAGAACTTCATGGGTGACCCCTCTTCACTGTAAGTACTTTTCACTCCTATCCTCTGTTTCTTGTCTTTTCATCAATTAGTTATCATTCAAGCACCTTCTCCCTATTGTCATGAGTACTCTGTTTCTTTAAAAGCTTTTGGAGTGGGACTTCATTTGAAACTTTTGGAAATCCAAGTAGCTGTATCACTTCTCACTCTTTTTTCGAATGCCTGTTTAACTCTTCAAGGAACTCCAATGGCCTGCAAAGTAGGACTTCTACTTACAAAATGCCAACTTCTGCAAACTACAGCACATCTATACAGAAATACACTATTTATAGACCAGCTCAGACTTTTGTAAAACATCATTGGGGGATGAAAATAGTTTAGATTGATATAGATTGGATGCATGGAGAGATGAAAAGAATCTTACGTGATTTACACATAGATATGCACATAAGCAATTTAAGAAGATATGCTGTCATCACTTCTTTTGACTCACCTTCCGACATGTCCATAGAAACGTCAACAGGTCACCAAGAGACACATCTTCCATGATCATATAAAGTGGGAACCGGTCTACACAGCATCCAACTAATTCAGCCAGGTTCTCATGATGGCCAAGATTCTGATGGAATTTAATCCTTCCCAGGAAATCCTTTACTTCCTGGAGACCAGCCAGATCTGAAAGAATCAAAGAAATCCCAGTCTAGCACCACGTGGAGGCAGCAAAGAAAAGGGCAAGTAACTTAAAAATCAACATGACTGCAGTTTTCTTTGGTCCAATCAAAATGCTACTATGACTAGCTATATTACTGAACACAGCTCTATCTCTCCTAGTAATGACTGCAAAGTTCTGACCAACATCATGTCTTTGATACACAGATCTGTAACAAAATGCTTTCTGGCCATGTGCCTTACCTTGTAAGGCTTTCAATATGACAGTCGTAGTCTTCCCAGGGTTTCCAGTTTCCAGTTCTGCTCTGTAGATGCTCCCATACCGACCATGTTTTATCACCTGCAAGGTGCCTGGTAAGAGTTTCTCTCGTGGTATCTCCAGTTCTTTCAGAGTCAGGGATGCAGAATTTAGCAGGTTCTCCACAGTTGTTTCACTCATCTGTATATACTGGTTCTTAGGTAAGCTCGATTCTTGCTGGTTCCTGTCATTCACTGACAAAAACAAATATATGTGATGCATAAAACCAAAGGGATGAACTTTTGCAGTAGGTGGCAATGCCCCTCCTATTGTCTTTTTTTTTTTTTTTTTATGTTCTTTTGATTTTTGCTCCATACTGTTTTTGGAAATCAGGATGAAGTAAAGAAATATTAGTGTATCTTACTTATCCCAGCCCCTGAGGCGTTCAAGATCTTTTATCTCCCACTTGACTTGACGAAAAGGCAGAACAAGTCTGGAGACCTGTACTGTATTTAACTGTATAAACTTACTTTCTGGGTAAGACACAATTTGTATTTGATTCCCATGTGCTGAAGCCACAGCCGTTTTTTCTTTTATTACCAACTACTGTTTGTTACGAGAGAGACACACATAGGGTGCTCCCACAAACACCTTATCTTTGTTTTCAGTTATTTCCTTTAATATAGGCTGAAGACGCTTTTTTCCTGTGCAGAAACAAGAACAGTTCAGAACTGGACTTTCCTTTCCACGGAGCAGCATGTGGTTGTGGTAATGACAACCCTTTTCTCACATTCTCTCTTTTCGTCCCCATAAGAAGTGGAATACAGGAGTTTGAAATGCAATTTCTTAAATGACAATATATATAACAAGTTAACTAGGTGTGATCTGCATCCAAAAGACTGTCATACCTCTATGAAACTCTCCTTGCATGAGCATCCATGAAGACTCTTATGTAAGCACACTTTGCAGATCTCACATGATGTTACCACAGTATGGTATGTCGGTTCAGGTTTGTTGAGAACCATCTGCACTACAAATTCCATTATTGCTACCTCAAGTGGGGTAAATGAGGGTTCCCCAACTTTTATGTTCACTAGATTGCTGGATACCACTCAGGCTCTTCAGAAATAGTATTGCCTAATGGCTCAAGCAGTGAGGAAATGGATTGACATGGACCACTGAAACCAACATGCTTTTCTCTGAAAACTATGATGGTTACCTTGTTGTTCAGATGCTGAAGATCCCTCCCGCTTTGTTCGCAAGCCTCGACAATGGAGCCAAAGGATCACGGTTAGCAGGATGACAAAAAAACCCACAAGGAGAGCTGGGACAACAATCACTTCGGTCTGATATTCACGCACAACTACAAGCAGACAAAGAAAATGGGAAGCCAAGGCATAAGCATCACTGTTTTGAAAAGGACTGTGTGCAGCATTACCTGATATGCACAAATTATGTATTACATAGCAGTAATGAATCATTTCAGTAAACTTCAACCCTAAAGGTGTGTGTGGGTGTTCACCCGCTGCTCCTTGGAATAACAACTGAACACTTTTAGTGCTGCAACTCTATTCCTCAAAGGTGCTGAATATTTAAAACCTCATGAAGCCATTGGGACTCTTGCACCTCAGGTCACTTATTTAGATGCCTTAATAGAGGTGAGGAACTGTAACCATGAGTGTAAGTATCCCACCAGTGAAACATAGTTGGCCTTGGCAGAGGGATAGGAGGGATATAGGAAGGGCAGGACATTGCTGTGCTATCACAAATCTAAACAACAGTGCTATACAGGTTCAACTACTTCCATTAAAACTATAGGGAGCATTTTAAAGAAAAAAGAGTGGGATCATCTGGTTTAGAATTTGACCCAAAAACACTATAATTAACAAGGATGTTGCAGGTAATTGACTGTCTTGATTTGGGGGTGGTGCTATTTTTGCACTGGGGCAAGGCACCATTTCAGTTTCCAAAGATGACATTAAGTGATGAAATCAAAATCTCACAAAATCGGTCCTTAGAAAAACAGCAGAGAATCCTATTGACTATGTCATGACATTTTAATCTCACCTTTATGATTCATTCAACGCAGAAATACTCTAAGCTAAAATTATGTGAGATGAATCCCACCATAAAGGCTGGAATCCCCACAGAAGTTTCCACCTTGAGACAATGCAGGGAAAGGTCATAGAATCATAGAATATCCTGAGTTGGAAGGGACCCTTAAGGATCATCAAGTCCAACTCTTGACACCGCACAGGTCTACACAAATGTTCAGACCATGTGACTAAGTGCACAGTCCAATCTCTTCTTAAATTCAGACAGGCTCGGTGCAGTGACCACTTCCCTGGGGAGCCTGTTCCAGTGTGCAACCACTCTCTCTGTGAAGAACCCCCACCTGATGTCAAGCCTAAATTTCCCCTGCCTCAGCTTAACCCCGTTCCCGCGGGTCCTGTCGCTGGTGTTAATGGAGAAAAGGTCTCCTGCCTCTCGACACCCCCTTACGAGGAAGTTGTAGACTGCGATGAGGTCTCCCCTCAGCCTCCTCTTCTCCAGGCTGAACAGGCCCAGTGCCCTCAGCCGTTCCTCGTACGTCTTCCCCTCCAGGCCTTTCACCATCTTCGTAGCCCTCCTCTGGACACTCTCCAACAGTTTCATGTCCTTTTTATACTGTGGTGCCCAGAACTGCACACAGTACTCGAGGTGAGGCCGCACCAGCGCAGAGTAGAGCGGGACAATCACCTCCCTTGACCTACTAGCGATGCCGGGCTTGATGCACCCCAGGACACGGTTGGCCCTCCTGGCTGCCAGGGTCGGTCAAATCCTTCTGTTTGGGCTGGGATGCAAGTGCAGGAGGGGAAAGAGCTTGGTCCCCTTTTAGCAAAGCTGGCCAGCAAAGCTCAGCATAGGAAAGATGCTAAAGGAATCTGTGAATCTTACCACAGAGCTTGTCATTGCTGTTGCATTCCAGTAGCATGCGTGTGAATCTTTTCACATCCCCTGCCATGTTCAATCACAAGCAAGCGATTCTCCAACCTCTGTCGTCTGCACTGACATGAAGAATATTAATGAAATTTGTTAGGAGGAAGGATGATTTAGGAAACAATTAGTGAAAAGAATATTGAGATTTCCACCCCTTAAGTTCAGTAGTAATGTGAAGAAACAGCACAGGGACTTCAAGGCTTAGAGAATGACATGGAATATCCACTATCAAATCCCATGAACTGGAGACTGCACAATCAATGAGAATTTAAGATTATTTTTTTTCTGCAGTGCTACACAAATAATTGGGTACCCATAGGTCTAAAGGTTGTCATATGCACAAACATTCATAGTCACTAATTCAATCATATTTAAAGAGCCTAGCACTTCTTAGATGCCAGATTTACTTAGGTTATCTTCTGGTCCATAATAAATGAACAAATCAGAAGTATGAATACAGAATGTCTGCCATGCTTGACTAGAGTTCTTATCACAACTCATATTATTGCCAAATGTTAAGACTTAGCTTCACAAACAGTATCAGCTAGAATGTTTTATAGACGTTGGGACTTTTTTTCCTGGAAGCATTTATTTATTTATTGGCTATGGGTTTAAGGCAGTTATTTGCAACAACAAATGCTAATAGTAATATGGGATCCTTATTTATACTAACATGGCTTTATGGAACTTGGTGATAGATAAAACATTAAAGAGCTTGTTCTCATGCTTAAAATTAAGGGGTGAATTTATGCTTTATCAGCTGTAAAAAATATGCAATGGAAAGAGGAAAACAGAGTATATCTGCTTTTTAAGATATTGAAAAAAGTCTACTTCATTTTTTATTTCCTTTGATTCTTAATATGTCAGCAAATCCACCTGCTTTCAGGGTGTGGCTACAAAAATATCAATGATACAGAAATAACTCCAAGCTTTTCAGGTAAACTCTGAAAACAAGCAGACAAAGTCAAACAACCTCGGCTATAACACATGAACATACTTACACACAAATACACAGGCATCACCCTAAGAGGAACATTCCTAGCTTCTTTCATTCTCAAACAAATACACAGATACAAAAGACAAGTAGGAACAGACATGATGGCATCACAGGACAACTGACTTTAGGACAATTAGCAAGCAATCATGTTGCATAATCTAAATCACAAACAGTCCAAGCTCTATCTTACCACTAGTCAATAGCTTTGCTTTGTGCAGATGCTCATTAGAAATGCATGCTTATATTTAAACAAGGTGCATGCACAGGCTCACATAAGCACAGGTATACCAGCTGTTACTTATGCAGAAACATGTTCATACAGTCACGAAGATCCACGAAAAAAAGCTTTGATGCAGCAACCACGTATATACTGCTCCCGTTTCTGTAAAAAAGGTTCCTACCTACCTTAGGTACTTGCCATTAGCAATGTCAGTGGGCGGCACATGCATTTTCTAACCATACCCAGGCAGAACTATGTAATCCAGAAATAAAATCACTGGCGCATTAATTGCACTGGCACTCCCACTGGTTGCTACTGCTTACAGAGACGCATTGGTGTTACCAATGTAAAAGTCAGAGTAGACAAGTCCATTCACACTCTACCCTCTTCCAAAACTCAGAGAAGTAGAAAAAGAAGCTGCACTTAGTGATATAATTCTGAAAAGGTTTTCAGTGCTACTTTCCAGGCCAAGAACAAATGAATTCTTGTACTTAGCTCTGCGGCTTGCTGGTCAAACATTAACAACATTGCAGTTCCTGCATTTCCATCCTGAGTTAGCATTCTTGTGGACTGTTCTGCTAACTCAGAAATACACAGATCTCATCTCACATATCTAATCTTCTTATATATTTAATAAACATTTTTTACAGCATACCTGTAAGGCACCCATTGAGGTTATGTGGAACCAACATTTTTAAATTTACAGGTGCATTGTCACCACAGAGCAGAAAGCATACAGACAGTGCTTAAATATTTACTTTAATATATGAAGTCAGTTTTCCAGCATAAAGCAAGGATACAGGGAACGAAAATATGTTAAGAGGTTCAAAACCTATACCTTATTGGAACTGTATTTTTCCTTGTCTGTCTTATGTTGTGCCAAGACCATGTTGTTTCAATCATGAGCACCTGGAAAACTTATCCTGTATTATTTCAATTTAGAATTTGTATTGGACAACTTGTGCAATCACAAGTAAATATCAGTTTAGTTATTCCACTGTGTTTGTTTTTTTTTTTAAGTACTCTTTTGCATATACTAAAATCTACTACCTGGAACTCTTGGATCTTCATTTCTCTTCATTGCTTACTTCTAAAAATACATTTGCTTCTCCTTGCCTGAGCCTATCTAGACTTTCAGGTTATTCTGATTTCCTTCTCCTTCTGCTTGTTTCAACAAACTCATGATTTTTGTTTTTTACACAAATCCTTGAATTTCCTTTTTTTTTCCTACCACAAGCATTTTTTTCCACCAGATCTGATGTGCCGTTGTGCTTGTACACCTTATACAAGAAAATTAATTGGTAATGAAATATAAAAATAAAACATGGTAGGTAACAACCACAGTACTAGGCTACTCTTCCTTCAGAATGCCAAAGATCAAGGTAACAGCGATATGTTTCTGTACAGTTTCAGGCTCTCAAGACTTCCTGAAAGACACCTTCCCCTTCATACATTGACCAGAATGCAAATTAGCTTTTCTCAACAAAGCTCCTCAACTCAAGGAACTGAATGGAAGCAACAGGAGGCTGTGAAGTTCTCGGTAAACAAGTTTTGAAAAGGCACCTGTTTCCCTGATAAGGGCTCAGAAAGAGGGGACAGGAGTTTCACTGAAAAGATCTGATGAGACATGGGAGCTTTTGCTGTGGCAAAAGGAAATACAGCTTTGCTAGTGCCTGTAAGAGTAATGCTCAATGTATTACTAACCACATTCAGATACAACGTGGCTCCATGTGAACCCTAACAACAACAATCAAGCTTTTCTTCAGCCAATACTTGAATCCAAAGCCCCACATCCAAGATAAATATATAATCAAGACTGTGGTAGCTAGACATAGCAAAAGTAGCTGCCCTTAGACTTAGGCACGGTACTTTACTACCATTTTTGTGGGTGGTACTAGTTCACCAAGCAATTTAACAAGTGCCAACACAGGCTCAAGGAAGTGGCAAGACCATACATCCAGAAGCAGGAACAGGGATCTTCCGCTACCCAGAATATTGAATGGCTATTTTGTCTAAAGCTGTATCATGACACCATTCCCTGGGTCAGCACCAAGCCACAGGCACTGTATGTCAACATAAGCCCTGCTACAAATTTTTCCATTCCCTGTCATTCATTCCCATGTTCATGTTCATGCTGTCCCTCTAGTGCTAGCACAAGCATTTACAGGGCAATGTGGTAGAATGAATTGAGCAGGTGATTGCCCTAAAATAAATGATCTCTTGCATTTTTCATCAGGCTCAATTTACGCTTATTTAAGTGCCAGCACCTGAAAGTCAAGAAGCCTAAGAGACAGACATTGCTGTGAAGACTGTGAAGTAACAGAAACATAAAGTCTTACATGTCAATGGAATATATGGGAATAACTGGCTTGAGAACTGTGCACACAAACTGGCTGACACATTCAGGAAAATAAGATGCTGTATGTACTCGTGGTACATTCACTGGCAAACTGTGTATCTGACTTGCAACATCAGTTCCCATTGTTGAAACAAATCCATGTGTACTGTATAGCTATTCTGGCTAAAGGAACAGGTGATTAAATTAATTAAATATGATAAAATTAAAGGCTAAGATTAATTCAGATCTTCATTAAACCTTTTAAACTGTGCTATGAGCTGATGTGGAAGTTAACATTTCATCAGACTTCCTGACTTGCATAATTGCACACCACTTTATTATCAGAATATGCTTCCAAATGTTTTTCTTGCACTCATCATTAGGACCAACTGTAATATGACTGCAGGTAGGTAAGGAACAGATGAGTAATTATTCTCCTCAATCTAGCATACTAAATAGCCTGACTGATAAATGACAAAAAAAAAACTTTAATCATAATGCCTCCTATTTTATTCCTTGCGGCAGTAGATCTATACACAAGCTTTTCCAGTTCTGTACTGCTTTTATTATTTTCTTTCTGTTTGATATGACCTTTGAACATTGCTACCGGTCAAGGCTATGACAGACATTATGAGTGCAAGCACGCAACTCAGGTCATGCAGCTGGAAAGGAAGGGAGCTGCTAGGAACCAAAATGGCAGTGAAAGCACAGTGTCTGGGCTCCAGATAGCCAGGTAGCTGTGCACACTGAATGTGAGAGAGGGAGAAGAAAAATACCACAGAAAAGCAAGCAGAGAAATAGAGACTTCTTCCCAGCAGTGTCCACACTTTTACACAAAAGCAGTATCCAAAACAAATAAAAAACAGCTCCCACGGGTCTCAAACTGAACAACATGATACCTTTCATGTCTACAAAAAGCTATGCACCTGTTAGCCTGCATGTCCTGTCCCTTCTGCCTTCAGAAGACTTTAGTGACTTTTCCAACAGCCAGGCAGATCATGACATTTTTGCAAGGCTTCCCTGACCCACTGAGCCATCTCACCATAAGGCACCTCTGAGCTACTTAGTCTGAGCAGCATCTCCTGCCGTGTAGAATGGGAAATTCTGACTGGTCAGTACAGGTAATAACATACCAGAGCCACCTCACTTCTGTCCCAAACAGGGATTACTGATAATGCCCTGTGGCTTGCTGCACTCGCTGTCATAATTTCTCAGCTATAAAGATTGGTATTCTAACTCACTTTTGCATCAGGTGGCAGCTGTAACACTCTATAAAAAAACAAAGTATTTCAAAAAATCCCATACAGTGACTCAAAATTTTCTCTTAGTCCAAAATTAGAAGCAATACCTGAACATCAAATCTAGGCTAGCTGCTACTGAAGTATTTTAAGGAGTTAAAGAAAATCAGGATGACTACTTCTGAATAGATATACCATGGAAAAAAAAAAAAAAAAGCAAGTAACGAGGTTCATGCTACTACCTGGGCAGGTGGATCACTTAGGGCAAACCTGGCTCCTTTTCAAGGGAGCAGAAAAAACAGGTGAAGTCAGCAGTCACCACTGCACTGAAAAGTATGAGTGAAGAGGACTCTGCACTGTTGTGCTTTTATCCTAAGGAGATTAGTCCAAACTGGCACCATGTCAGTGGAGATATGCAAGATCTTATGGTGCTAAGTTTTGCTTAAACTCAGATCATCTCACAAAAAAAATGAATTTACTTGTACATCATGAGGAATTCCTGAGCAGAGAAGTGTGAAACAGTACAGAAACTAAATGGTGATTAAGACAAAAATATTTTTTTCTAATACAGATAAGCCCTCATATAGTTTCTGAAATACTAACATACATTTTAATCACACTCCCCTTTACTAAGGCCACAAAAAATATTCCTCATAGGTAGCCTGCAAAATAATAGATAAAATAAAATAATAATAATAATAATTAAAAAAAAGTAACAAATACATTAACCTGAAGCCATTAGTGAGAAAGAATATGAAACGCCTAGAGGCCAGGTTCGCAAACATACATTTACCCATGACCTTCCTTTCTGTAGTTCCAAAATCACAGGCTACTTTTGAAAGCACCAGCCATGTTGTATGTTTTTCACTGATTTTGGTAGTAGCTGCAAGCACTAAGCCTGTACCCAAACCCTAGTACAAACATAATATAGATATTGTGAAATATTGTGACAGAAAAAGCCATACCAGGGCATTAGAAGAGTTGAGAGTTTTTCAAAGGATCACATGCACATGTAGTTCTTGTAAAAAAAAAAAAACACTGCCTGATAAAAATACTGCATGTCATGTTGCTGCATAATGGCTTAAGAAACGATGTGAACCTGCTTTCATAGACACACAGCCATATGGAAATTTAGCTGAAGTTGTGCACATAACTTTAGTTTCACAAGTCCTTAACTTTTGGCTGTTGGTGCATTTAATGTAGATTGTCTTTATGCTTAAGTAGCTTATGTGTGCGCACACATAGATGGAAACAGGTAAATACACAGAAAAAAGCTAGATACCCGCACCACGTAGGATTATTTAGTTTCCTTACAATCAAGCAGTAGTGACAAATCAAATGCTACTCAATTCTGAATCCACACCTAGGCACATATTACTTAACTGAGCACTGAACATATTTACATTCACGGGCACTGCATTGCCTTGCATTATTTCAGTGAATTGAAACTAATTTTAAACAGTACTTATTTCCTTTCTTATTTTTTCCCTGTTTAAAATGTGCCTAGAAGTTATTTCATTATTTCATCAACTTGTGTGTAGAGGGTATCTCCCTATTTTCTCAAACCCCAATACCATTATGACAAGATTTTATCACAGAGATGTATAAGTGACTTCTGTACAAGCAGTAAGCACACATACAGATGTATAAATTTTACAGTGCAGATATATCCTAGTTCAGGTCACATTTATGTTAATAGAAGTCTTTTCAAATGTTTAAATATTCATCAGCTAGTCTTCTGGCAGCGTTTTCTCTCACTTACCTCAATCACACCACTTCTCTTGCCCTGCAGTACTCTTTTCCTGGAACCCACCTGCTGCCAGCTCCCTGTTTGTCTGAAGCCACTCCTGATAATGCTGATGGTTACCTCGTGCAGTTGTAATTCTTATGACTAAGTTCCTCCTCACTGATTTGCCTGCCCCTGACCTGCCCAGCTGCAGTTCTTTACTCCTCGAGGTTTTCTCGGCTGTCTCCCCAGGGGTATCGCAGGAGCCTAAATCCAACACACAAGCTGACAGGTAGGCACACACTCGTAAAACGGGTCTGCCTGGCTTGCACACACCAGCTGCTCACCCACTGATGACAGACACAGGCAAAGCAAAGACTCCTTGGGCGGGACCTTCGAGCATAATTGGAAAGGCAGGCAAGCGCCCATCAAGAGGGACGGGCTAACATAACAAACGGAAACTGCACACTTCAGATTAATGGTTCATCTTTAGAAATAAAATGGGTTCTCAGAACACAACATTTGGACAACCCCCCTAAAAAAAATTCCAGATGCTGAAAAAACTTTCTATCAGGAACACAACCCGGTAGAGAACATGCAACTGAACAAAGGGAGAAAAGATGAATAATACCCAAACAGATAGTTGCAATGCAAGGTTTTTTCACATTCAGACTTGCTTCTTGTATCCCTCTTGCTCAGGCTGCCCGTGCATTCTGTCAGCATTTTCCATCTCTGCTGTTCAGCTCTTCCCTTTCCCTTTCCTCTCAGTAGCCCAGCTTGGAGCTTCCCACACAGCCCTGTGTGGGAAGCTCCACAATGACTTGCACTTACAAAGCCCCTTCAAAATCCATCCTAACCTCCCCAATAAATCCTGTTAATATTCTAGAACACACCCTGCAATCTCATCTTGTTACCATGCCCCTGAAGTCCCTGTTCAGCTCTGTCAGTGCCCTCAGTCCTGAGCAGCCATGGGGTATACTCTTCATTATGTTTCAGTTCTTTAGCGTTTCTGCCCTGGGGACTTCCTTCCCAACCAACCAGTGTATTTGAGTCCCAGCTGCTGGGCTGTAGGCTCCCCCTGTCAGCTCAAAGACTGCCCTCAGCTATCACCGAAACATCTTGTGTTTCACCAAAACATCTTGTGTTTCAGATTCCTGACTCCTGATTATATGAGCCTGTAGAAGATTATTTGCTTACCTACTTCACACTAGTGGGAGGCAGTTGTATTACAAGAGGAAGCAACATGAGACCTACCACTGAGAGACAAAGTTCAGTGCACAGTCATGACGCTCTACTGGTGGCTTTGGATAGGTAAAAATCATATGATCTCTGACAACTGTTTGAGCAGATCTGATTTATTCCTATTAACACTTTGGTGCTGTATAAATTAGTTTTGGGAAGTTTTTAGCTGCGGTAGAGGCAATAGCTTTAGATAGGGAAACACAGTAGTTAATTTATCCATAGGAGCAATTGCATATCAATGTATCTGTACAGCAGTACCTCTCAAACTTCTCTCTGGGATTATCGTTCCACCTGGCATTTACTTTCTAGGTGTAAAGAATGGTTAAACTCAGGAGTGGATCTCTTTATGGCTTGATCTCTACAGAGCCTGGCAGAAGCAAGCAAAATAATATTAGTGAAATAGTCACATAATGTGGACTTCTGTACCCCGAGAAATCAGCAGAAATCCTCTAGACTGAAAATTTTCTCGAGTTACAAAGATCACTACAGCTGCAGACCATAGGCTAAGGCTCTGTTTTCTATTTTCCTCCTGTTCTGGTGCTACCCTGCATTGACTGTCAACAGTACATATAAGTTGAATAAGTAAAAGATATGAGGATCTATACCTCACTCCTCATTAAGAAGCGGATAAATTGCAAAGAATAGTACCTCATTTAAATGTCCTCTCTACTGAAATATGTTGCTTTCCAGAGGCACTTTCCCTAAGGGCAGCTGGGGGAACAAATATACTGTTTAAGAATATAATAAGTGATAGTCTTTCTCATTTTGATCCTTGTTCCACAATTTCTACAGCCCCCAACCTGTAGAAATAAAGAGTAGGAAAGGCATGGGGTTAATATTCAAGGTATGCATATGCAAAAGTAGCAACCCCTGTTGCTTTTAGTTTCCCCAGTCAATCTTTCTGCTGTGATGCCAGTCAGACTGGTTGGAGAAGATGTTTTAACAGTTCAGAGTTCAGACTTCAACTATAGTCTTCCTCACAGATCCATAACCCCCTCCCCCTGTTTGGTTAAGGGACAGCAGTCGTTTATTGTCCTGTGAAAAGCAAACTTCTGCTACAAGTCTTCTATTGTGTGCACATCCACAAAGAAAACATTGCCTGTTTAAATGTCCTAATGTTTTTTTCCTTATGCAATTTTTTCCTTATGTATGACTAGGCGCACTGAAAGGTGATGGACTGTCAGTCTTGCTAACAAAAACATCCTCTTTACCACACACAGCAACCATCCAAACCAAACACAACTGCTAAGTAACCTCAACAACATGCTTCTGAGACTGAGTGGCAATGCAGCCACAAACCATTCAGTCTTTGTCCTATGTGATGAGACTGTTCAGCAGGCTGCTACTTTTCTAGTTTAACTTCCAGAAAGTCAGCAAACTCCAAGAAACTGTCACTGGTCCAGAAAGTAAGCTTCATATGAAGGGATCCTCTTGTTTAATCTTGCTGTTGTATCCACACTTTTTTCTGCAGTAATTTAGAGGCAGTAAGTTTTCTGATGTTTACTTTCACATCCTACTGTAAGATTTGAAAACCATGCCCATAGATGATGGATCATGACTGATCTTTTGGTCAGACAAAGCCCACAGAGGTTGAAAGGCTTAGTACCTCTTCCTTTGGTTCCACAAGCTAGCCATTTGTCCCTGAGCAGGGTAAGAATCAGAAGAGATGATCTAGAAGTGAAAGAAACATTCCCATCATTATCCCAAGTCACTTCTGCCTCAGGAGCTCTGCCTCTCATGATGACAAGATATTCTGACTTGAGAACAATTCATTTGCCTCGATTTTTCTTGAAAATAGTATCTCTACTGTGATTTTCAATTCATCCCTACTGCTTTTGTTATTAAAAATTTCCATAAGAATGAAGACTAGGAGGAGCTGCATTACATGAAGAGAAATGAGGAGAAAAAAAAAGAGCTCTTCCATACAAAAACTAAAAGATCAAAAGATTAATTCTCATCAGCCAGTTGAAGGTCCAGTAATTTGCCAGCACTTCCACTATTTAATGTGAGGCACAACTAATAGTAATCTTTTCCACCCACTTTCCAGCCAAACTAGACTGTACCTTTCCCAACTCTATTCCTGAATCTAAATGGAAATTTCCTTTGCAGTTTTACAGTCTCTGCCTTGGTGGTCAGCCCTCCCTACTCAAACCAGATGCTGAGGAAAGATCCTGAAGGATGGTTAGATGCTCGAAGTACATAAGCTCAGTAGGTTATGGTAGAGTTTTCCCCTTTGGCTTCTTTGGCAGATTTTCCAGGCCCAGAGGCTTGGATTCATTTGACAGAGATGAAAAACAAAGTTAGGAGTATGACTGCCACAGACTCTCTGTTATAGTTAGCACAAGGTCATAGGCACTTCTGTAAGCAGTTCAAGCACTAAAACCCTCTCTCCCTACATGACAGGTATAAAGGGTAGCCCAGCTCCTAATTCACATCTTTGTCAAATGACAGAAGTTAGATAACATGCGTCTGAGCTAGAATCTCTTGTTTTCTTCTTCAAATAAAGAATTTCCCAGAGCGAGAGCTCACTGGGTTCCCCAAATCAGTAGTCATCAATTGACGAACTGTTAGACTGGAAGTTAGGTGCAGCACATACCATTTGCATTCCCTTCAGCTTTGTGTGGTTTCTTGTTGCTCCTGACCTTAGCAACTAACACCCTGAGCACAATAGGCATGCAATGCACATTCTTCAGTTACTTTTACCTTTTCTCTTTCAGCTTTTCAGCTCTTATGTTCTTTCTGCTAAATATACACATTTTCCTCCTAAGTTCATTTTTTTTGCCACTGCGTTTTTACATTGTTCACATTTCCAAGTGAGAACACAACAGCTCCTCTTGGCAAAACTTGGAAGCTGTTGAACAGAAGTACAATTGCCTAAACACCCAGTCTAAGTATTGAATAAATTGCATCGCTTCACACAAAAAGAAGCAGTGAAGCCAGCTCTTCCCTGGCAAGGATGCCAACAGAGACCTCACAAGCACTAAAGAGTATGTGTATCACAAAAGTTCACCTAATGTAACACTGTTACATAAAAGTATGCTTGTTTCCATGTAACAACACATTTTTGACCTGTAATTCACCCTCTACCACATCTCCGTGTCCTAAAGGACTGGCAAGAAGACAAATAAACCAAGGCACGTTGAAAACATGCTGTTCCCGTCTGCCAGTGCCCCTGGAAATGGATTTCAGCCCGTTTAGCATTATGCACTAGCAAGGTACTATTACTAAGCTACTGGAGTTGCGTGCACACATTAATTATTCTACAAGCAGAGGATGCTTGCTGCCCAGATTTTCATGGAGCGAGGAAGCAGTACACGGGAAGGCAGCGCCAGACAAACACACGGGTGCCCAGCCGGAGGCAGCACAGCCCCCGGGAGCTGAGGTTCCCCAACACCGAAACGCCGCGGCAGCAGGGAAGGGGGGGTTACCTCCTGCCTTCCGGCCTCCGGGGAAGGCCAACTACGTTTGGCGTCCGCTGTGGCAGGAGGGGCAGGCGGCCGGGACGCCCCGCGACAGCCGCCCACCCCCCAAAAAAGAGCCGTGTCCTTCCCCGCCCCTTCCCTCGGCCGCCTACCTCGCCGCCGCCGCAGCGCTCGCTTCCGCGAACCACAACATTTACCGGGGTGGCTCAGCCCGCGGGCGGGCGGGGAGGACGGCACGGCATTTTCTCGTGTCCCGTTGCCGCCCGCCCCTGTGGCGCGCGGGCCCCGCTGGCGGCGGGGAGCGGGGAGGGTGAGGGCGAGGCGGGGCCGGCGGCTCCGTGAGGGGCTGCGGCGGGCCCCGAGCCGTGGGACGGGGCCGTGGCTGCAGGGTGGCACGGCACGGGGCGGTTTGGGGACAAACCGCGGGATTTTGGGCAGCTGGTAAAGGCGGGGGTGCGCTGAGAGCCCTCAGCGTCCCCGTGAGGCCGGGCGTGCCGTTAAAACGCCGCGAGTGTAACAGGAAAATAGACAACGTTTTCTAACGATCCCTTTGACACGGTAATCATTGTCATTACAGATACCAAAATATTTACCTCACGCAAATACAGCATATTTCAGTGTAATTCTTTCTGCTTAAGCTGCTTTTGAAATGGATTGAAGGAAGCATGCGACATACAGTTGGTAACCAGTAACTTCCAGGTCAGGTTCTTAATGGCTTAACGTGTAAACGGAGAAACTCACACATTTTGTATTATTAATCTGTATTCCAATATCGTCTCCCCTCAGCTGTTAAAATCAACTCACCTCAAAGTAAAATAAAGTATGAAATACTTGCTTTCCTTGCAGATGGCCAGATCAGAACCTCAGGACAGAAATTACGATAATGTGGTAAAGATGGTAGAGGACCTGAACAGAGACTTAGAGAAGCTTGTGGAGGAAATGGAAAAAATGACAGGTAAAGGTCTGTAGTAAGAACAGTGTGGATTTGTCTAGTAGAGCGAAGACACTGGAGATTTATTAATTATTTAAATTTATTGCTGTGAACTTCCTCATGTGATAGAAATCTAGTTGGAAAGAAATTGCCATCAGCAAATGCCCTAATGTTCTTAATTGAGAGAAAAAGAGTGCAAATAATCTAATTGGGCATTAACACTAAGATGATGCTTAGTTCAGAGTGGTGGCTGAAAGCAGAAATAATATTAAGGCATTTAATTTACAAAGATTAAAACATAAATAAAAACATAAAATGAAAATTTAATTTTGAAAAATGGTGGAGTACACAGTAACTCTTCAGTCAGTCCATGACAATGATCCTGTTGGATGACTCTTTACAAATTTAATTTTATGTATGGAGAAGACTACATATTCCTCTTCATATTCTGCAACAATTCTATCAGAAACTGTACAACTAACACAAGTGGATGGAAATTGATAATTAGATTATATGTAATTAATGATGATTTAGGAATGTTGTTGAAAAAACTACAGAAAAACAAAAAGGAAAGAATGAAATTTAAGAACTGATCTCATTAGTCAGGTTGTTCTTAATTGTTTTTCCATCTCCGTGCTGTGATCTTTGGCTTTTCTTTTCCTCACCTAACATAAGCCTCCTGTTACTGGTCTGGAGCTAGAATTCTTGGGTTTCATTCATTCATTTTAAAAAAGTCCATTACACCTTTTTTAATTACCCATTTTGTTGTAAACATCAGGTAAAAGTGTCCATTTCCTTTTTGTACTTTACATCTGTATGCTTGCATTCTGAAGTATTTTGAGACATTTATAAAAAAAGTAACACCAAACATATATATATTTTTTAATTTTGAGCATTACTGTGAGCAGTTTCTGCTATTTTATTATAGGCCTTCTCTGACATAAGGTCTGATCTAATAATAATTAACGTCCTTTATTCTTTTATTGAATCAGCCACTGCATTTTATTTATTTATTTTTTTTAAATTCCTGTCTTGGTAATATCTTTTGGTTTAAAGTGCAGGCAACCTGGATGGCATATGACATGGTAGTAATGCGTACCAACCCAGACCTGACCAATTCCATGAGGCGTCTGGAAGATGCCTTCCTGAATTGCAAAAAAGAGATGGAGAAAAAATGGCAAGAAGTGCTAATGGAATCTAAAGGTGAAGAGCAAAAAAAGGAATAAATTAGTCATGCTGTCAGAGCTACATCCCTTGGAAAATCTCTCCAGTCTTTTTGTTTTCCAGCCGTGGAGGTTTCACAAACACCATGGAAAATGGATTGCCATTCATTTTACTAAGAAATACTTATATGTGTACATTTATGGAAATATTTTGATGAGTATACATACATGTATTAATATTGTTGAATATACAAGGTAACAAGGTGTCTATTTTTATTGCATTCATCAGCCATCCTTGTAGTGCGTGTGTGCATATACAACTTCCTGGAAGACCACTCTCACTTCATAGTAAATATGTACACATGGAATAGTTTTACCTCTGAACAAATGTGTTGGGGCAAGAGTGTGTGCACAATGGACAACTGCATTGCACCAGCATGTGCCTATCAAGGAAAACTGAAGAATTAGTTTGACGTAGAATTGCCTACTAGGTGTTCAGTGACAGAATTTTATTATTAGATAGCTCACCTGTAGTGTTTTCATTTTGTTTCCTTGGATTTTTAACCATTTGTTTGGACTGGTTATCCCAGAAAGATCGTTTCTTTCAAACTTTCTGAAGGTAACATGTCTTATTTCAGAAAAAATTGTTTATAATTATAGACCGTAGTTTGTGTGTGAGGTTGCTACAAACACCAAATTGACATTATTACAAAACATGCTTTTCTCCATATGTTCCTACTGTGGGATATTAAAAAGGAATAGAAAAAGAAAGAAATTTATCTTCTTGTCGAGGTGTGGATTAAGAGCATCACCTTGTGGCTTCTAGTTACTGCGTAAATGAGCATCTTACCTGAGCTGGAAGTCAGTGTAAGCTTTGAGAAGTAGTTCCTCTTTCATTAAAATGCAGTTTAGCAATGCTAGCTGGCATTTCTAGAGGCATAAACAGTAAAGAATATGAAATTAGAACTATATTCTTGACTTTTGCTCCAGCAGATAGGTCTTAATTCCTGCCAAGGTAGGGCAAAATGGCATAACAGCATGATGAATCTTGTGATTTGATTAATCCCTGGAACTTTTCATGGCATGTTGTCACTTTGGTACCTCTGACAGTATTGTCTTTGTTCTTTAATGCTGCATTAAAGAATTTTTTCAAGAGGCATTGTCTTTAACAATTTGTGTAGAAACTTACCAATTTTTGTGTGACCTTTTGGCTATCAAGTGCGAAGTGTAGATTGACTATAAGGTTCCAGAAAGCTCAATTTTCATTTTCACTTAAGTGACCAGTGTTTAAAAGAAAACAAAAAGCAAAACCAAAAGCAATTAAATTTTTTTTTTAAAAATCCAGCAGTCCTATTGAGAGAATGGTGCTCAAAACCAACACTTCTGAAACAAAAAACAAAGTATGGCTTTTATTCATTAGAAAGTCCTCTATGACGTTCAGTGATGATATACCTGTAGCCCTCTCCTGACCTATTGTTATGCAATATTTTTTTCCTAGCCCTGAAGTCTTATTTTACAACTTGACCAATCTTGGATTTTATTTTTTCTATATAACCATGGAGGTAGGTATTATAGCAACAGAAAGCATGAAGTCATGAAGTACACCTTAAACTTCTTCTCACCATGAAGCAGATAAATTATAGCACACCACTGCAGTCTCAAGGACAGATGCTCATGCTGATGTACTTAGCACAATATGAATCCCTCTGTGAATGAACTGAGGGAAGGGGCAGGTATTGTGAATACCTGTGAAAATGTGTCGTCTGTGCTATCCTTTTTCTTACTCTTGAAAGTTCTTAAACTTGTAACCACATGCCCAACAAATGCTTAACTATGAGTGGTAGGGACAAAAATTAGGAAGAGAACCAAAAAGGTTGCAAGCAGGGACTATAGCACATAGCAAATCTGTATATGGGAATATAGCTTGGAGAATCTGGCTGGCTAAGTAGACTGGGACTGCTGCCCTACCTTCTCCCCAAGCTTTTCTTCCCAAGTACACAATAAATGGAAGACAGTCAGGGATATCCACCAGAACAGGAACAGCGCATACTGCTTGAAATACAATACAGCAAAATGACTCTACTTTTTACTTGTAACACTAACTTTTTTAAATTGATAATCATCTTGTGGAGATTGACAGTTTCTTTGTCTACATCTACCACATTCTAGCCCAGCTGGATACTTAAGACTTGCCACAGAAGCCACATCAAAGTATGGATTTTTCTGTGACAGGAGTGGACAATACAAGTTTTGTTTACAGAAGTAGAAAGGATATGGATCAACATCTCCATCTAGTGTTCACAACTGTAACAATAATCATGATTGCTAGGTTGACATCTTCTAATCACCCATTATGGAAGATTTTTGTAATGAGAAGTATAAGTAGCAGTTTAGCTTTATGCTCACTCTCATTGAACTCCACTTATGTTACTTCAGCCTGTGCAACAGTTATTCCTAGGTGATTCCTACACTGTATTTTGAAAAAGCACGTGCTTTCCCTTAAACAGCCACAAAAGTAAGAGAAGGGGGCACTGGTATACTGCCACTCTATAACCTCAAATATAGCAGTAACAATTCTGTTTCATTAGTTCTTAATTATTCTTCCCTTATCCACTTATGGTAACACTTACTAAGCACATCATGAATCAGTTAAAAACTTTTGTTTTGTTTTTAAGTTATCATTAATGCTGAGACCTGGACAGTGGAATCTGTTTGCTCTGCTTCATTTTGCATGAATAGAAAGATCAAATCTAATTCCACAGCTGATAAGTGTGAACCTTAGCAAGAAGGGCACAGAGTTGATCTTTAAACACTTGTTAAGGGCAGTAAGCACTCTGTTTAGCACTGCCACCTTTTTTACAGTGCTCATCACAACAAAATCTACAATCCATTGTTACATACGTAAACCTGTCTGCAGGGAAAGAGTTGGATGCCTACAAGTATCCAAGAACCAGCAAACCAAGTCAGATGTTGTCTGATACAGAAAGGCTGTAATGATACACTGTAAAAATAGAATTGAGAAGGCCTGCCCAAGGGGGGACAGGGACTCTGCATTTCAAATGGAAGTTTCAGCTTATCAATCCTCATCAGAACATTAACATTCTAAACAAAGCCTGGGCTATTTCCTCCAGTACTGGTGCTTACCACTTCTGCTTCACAGTTCTTATTATAAACTCAATTCAGGTTATCTTACAAAGGTTTAGAAGGCAAGTCCATGTTTTAGATTTGTTCTACAAATTTGGGCTGTTTCACATGTTGACAGTTATTTAGAAATCTCAGTCCAAATCCTTGCCTTTTTCCTAAACATGGAAACTAGAATAGATGAGGACAGAACTCACCTGCCAGGGATCTCTACTCCTTTTGTCATACACATATACAGTGTTGATCTGTACCAATAGGGTTTATCTGAAGTGCTATTTATTAAAGGCTATGTGAGCATTGTCTAGCTAAGTTCAGGAAGAGGTGTTTTAAGGATACAAATACACTACCCAAACTTTGAGTAACAGCAACTGTAGGACAGAAACATAAGTGTTGGACATGTTGGAGAATGAAGCATGCAACAAGATATCTGAATGAACACACCCATATTCAGCAGCTGGAAGGAGACTGATAACACTTGCAAGATATCCAAACTTCATGAAGGAACACAAACATGCATTCATAGGACAGTTAAGAACTTTAAGAACTCTGCTCTTCAGCACAGAAGAGATACAATACTTTATTTTTCCAATAAAAAAAGTTTTAGGGAGGCTAATAAATTTTAATGCCACTATCCTGGAACAGACTGAAGTGGCAGTTATGTTAGCTGTCTTTTGGGGCAGATAGGAATCTCAAAGAGAACCCTGCATTCTACTGTTTACAGAACACAAGAGCCTTGCAAAACAGATTTGGAATGAATTAGCAGGATAGTTTTCCCAATCCTCCAAACTCCTACTGGAGGACAGTAACAGAAAAACCTAGCTATTTGAGTCACAAAATCAGAAGGCATTGTAAGTTATAGCTGCCTGGTATATTTTTTGTAGAAGTTGTTTTGCATTCGAGTAGCCCTACTTAACATTGCCACATCTTTGCTCATGTCATCCAGCACAGCTGGAGATAAGACACATCTTTATACATTCAATGATGTAGCCTTCATTTTCACACAAATGCTGAAGCAGTAAGATAGTCATTCATTATTTTAAAGGAAAACATGAACAAACTTCAACAGATTTGCTTTTTTGGTGCTTGAAATCACTTTTATTTGTGAGGAACGTCACCCATGCTGCACAGTTTCAAATAGATCTTACCAAGGAAAGCTGAAATTTCTCCTCCCCACGTCCTGCAGTGAACAGGACTGGCACAGAAAAATGAAAACTCAACACACTTGGGAGGCTTAGCACCAGCATCCAATAAAAAAAGCATTTGATTTCAATTTCAGTTCTTTGGTTGGGTATTTTTCCCTTTTCTTTTCAGTTTGATACCAAAAGAAAAACTGAAAAAATTCAATACTAGCAAAATATTGAAATTCTAATAAAGAAAAAACCCACAGTTGCTGTTGTAACTGGGGAGGTTGCTCTTTCTGAATCTCGCTCTCTTCATGCATCTGTCTTGCAGGCGTTCCCTGGATCTCTGCTGCTGGTATTATTTTTAAGTTCCGATGTTTCAAATCTTTGCTTTCATCATTGTTGACTATTTATTGCTTGAATATTTCTTTGGTGTTACTTTTGAGTTGTAGGACACCTGTTGAAAAGACAGATTAAAAATATATTACAGAAAACATAATTTCACTTCACTGAAGAAAAGGTGGGATGTCAGAAGGGTGAGTGTTATGATTAACAAATTAAGCATGACTGGCATATCCTATCTATAAACTGAAAATACAGCACCTTCCTACAGCAAAACAGCACCAGTTCATTAACAGACGCTATTGCTAAAGATACAGATAAAGCAAAACTTGTTTTCTCACAGAAAGAACAGTAGACAGTTCCTTGATTCACCTACACAAGGCTCTCAGAAGTTACATGTAACTTACCAGATGGCCAGACATATGAGGACACAGCACAACCTAAAGTACTAAAAATATACATAATCCTGCTTCAGTTGGACTATCCATATTCCTTACCTGAGAGATGGTAAAGGTGCCTGGGGAAGGTGGACATTACTCGGCACCACTTTGCTCAGTCACCGGAGCAGGATTTTCAGCAGGTGTTTCAGTCACCTTTGTCTGAGACACAATAAGCCTTGTTAGAAACAAAGACTAAAAAGAAATCTCTTCTCTGTTCAGTGTCAGCACCAATATAAC